GTACTCCTTATAAAATTATTTAAAGAGACCCAACAGTTCCCACCATGAGCAAGCACTTGGCGACGGCGGCAAGGAAATGAAAAAAGGGTAGCCGTGACTCAGTACAGAGAAAAGGGTGTCCACTGTCTGCAGGGTTGGCAGTTCGATTCCCTAGCTTTCCCTGTCCATGTGTCAAGATGTCATTGAGCAAGACACTGAACCCCCAGTTGCTCCCCAGGCGCCTATGGCTGTCCACTGCTCCTACTGTATAGGATGGGTCAACTGCAGCAGACAGATTTTGTTTCCACGTATGTAAAATGCTGTGAAATGACAATTAAGGCTGAAAGGCCCTGGTTATTGGTTATGGTTATTATTACGAAATGCATAATAAAAAACTAAAATTCAGACAGACAAAAACTGAACATTTGAACCTTTATTAAGGTATACATTAATTTCATTTTAGCAAGTACATCACAAGTAATATCTTTTTCAATTCAAAGCTTTTTGAAATGTGGTTAAAAATCCACGCCATCGCCCCATTTAATCAAGCATTGGACAAATTAAATCAGAAGTAATGTTTCATTACTTTGTATTCATCCAAATATTTTCCCCATTTAATTCACAAATAAAATGCTTTCATTTCATCTTCTTTTTAAGATGCCTGGATCCACGGAACAGTTTTCTTCCTTTTTTTCTTTCCTTTTGTCTTGCATTTGTCCAAATACCCAGCTGGCAACTCTGGACAGCAATATTTTGCTGTGTTTTTGCATTTACATAGGTTCCTTTTCCCTGTTCTCACCTGCAATTAGTTAATGACAGGTTAGTTTAAGAAATGATGACAAGAAAACTGAATAAGCAAAGCTGTAAGTCTTACTTATTTAAGTGTTTAATATGTATAGTTCAGTCTGTCTTTGCAAGTTCTGACTATGGATAACAAGAATGACCGCTTCAAAGTTACTTTCAGTGTCATGTAATATGACATTGCTTTCACACTGGAACATGTTATTTTACTGCATAACAGTGTTATTTACTGCTCAAGCTTCAAACAAAGCTCTACTCTAGGTGTCTCTATGTGAGGTTGTCAGCTAATACATTTATTTTACTTTTTAAGGTTTGGGACAATATAAATCAAATGTATTTATTTTGTGCATTCAGCATGTCTACCAATTTTAGTGAATAATACAGGTAATAGGCAAAATGTATCAGCTAATGTGACAATTGTATACACTATATGATTTTTAAAAAACTGAATCCTAGTTTGGTTTCTGTGCATTTGACAGTTCTATCAAATCTGTTTGGTAACGCAGATGTAGCCATGATAAACCTTTGTTGCATTTTGCAGTTTGTTAGCTATAGTTGGTACCTAGAGTGTCTTTATTGTTCACACAAGCTTATCACTGATTAATTAAGATATGAATAAAACATATTTGAATTATACTGTAGCTGACAGCCACT